TATTATTATCATTATCTGTATTGATATTTTAAAATTATTATAATAATAATTATTACCTGTATTAATATTTTATTATTATTATTATTATTATTATTGCCACTGTTAATTAAGTAATTAATTCTAAGAGTCAGAAAGAGAGAGGGCAGCATATGCGTATCTAGTGTGAGGGCAGCTGAGGTGGATACATGTGGATATGGGAAGCCAAACACACTGAATGTGGATGAAACAGCGCAGTGAAGAAACTGCTCGCCAGTTTTCTGCCGAGCAGTGATGAATCAGGAAATGTGCTCTGAGCCGTGCTGGTGAGATTAGGTTGATTGAGCTCTGTAACATCGCTCCGTTCGCTCTCACATCTGGTGTGTTTGGCGTCCCGTATGGGCAGGTTTAGGTTGGATCTGTGTCCCGTGGCTCACCTCTCAGCGAGACCCCTCTTGGTCAGGCCTGAGATGATGATGGGGTCAAAGGGCTCCTCGGTGCCGGAGATGGTGATGCCCAGCGGGCCGCCGTAGCGCTTCAGCTCCACCGTGTAGATGATGGAGCCGGACGACTCCTGCTCGTCTGCACAGAGGACACGCTTCTGCTGTCACATATCATTCTGAGGACACTAGATTCAGCTGACACGCATTCATATCAACACATTATGGATATTCAATGAATAATTGAACATTGTGAACAGAAGAGCTCGGTGTTTACATCTCTTGATTCGCTCTTGGAGCTGCAAAACAGGTCAAACAAAGACATTTTCACTTCAAAGCAACGATAAGACGCTTCGCTTCATCTGCTTCTCTGACCACAGACTGTGTTTTACCTCATAACACAAAATCAGCAACGACTGATCTCTGTCATGTCAACAAAAATTTACTACATAATTCCCATTCGTGTCATTTTTATAGTTTTGAATAGTTTTTACCATTGTTCTCAATGTGGAAACTAGTAATAATAAAGAACGAGTAGGTGTGGCCAATGTTTGATTGACAGGATTTATTTGTTATTATGGTTGCATCCTTGAACTATTTGGCATTTGAAGTAGATTAAAGCAATAAGCCCCATGAAGCCGTGGTTTACAGTGAATTTATACTGTATATAATTTATACGAGTGCCTAAAACCCCCTTAGCGGTTATAAATTCACTGTAAACCACGGCTTCACGGGGCTTATTGCTTTTATAAAACGGTTATTCCATATACGTAGTAAGGTTTCACAGAATAAAACAGAGCAATTCGAACGTGGCTCAGCCAATCAGAATCAAGGACCGGAAAACTCTCCGTTTTATAAATGCTGTAATATACTGACACCTGGCGGTCAAATGTTGAATTACACATTGACATGCTTTCAGTATGATTTTCAAATTGGATGTTTAAAATCAAAATAGGGCCAGATATTTTATTTCGGATTGACTGATTAATTTTGGAATAACTTGGATTAGCCGACCGGGTCATATTTCATATTTCATCCTATATTTCTAAAAGACAAACAGTAAACTAAACTAAACTAAATGTATTTATATTTTCTTTTGTATTTTATTGTTGTATTTTATTTTTATCAACATAAATGACAAAAAGTAACAAATGACAATTTAAAATAAAAAGTTTATATTTCTAAGAGGCAAAAACAACCATATACAAATAAAATATTAACAAATATAACTATAAAATATATTTCTAATTCTATAAAATATAGTATTTTGCATAAAGAAAGCCTATTTGTGGACCACAAACATTTGTGCTGAGGAAATCATAATGAGGATAATAATGTAATATTTACTTTTAAACCATGAACTCTTATCATGCTAAAACTAAATATTGATTTAAGTTTTATTTTAATCTTTATCATTTGGCATCATAATTTATAAAAATGTAATGATGAATGAGAAACATGCTAAAACTTTATGATGATTATTTATAAAATGAAAAAAGGATTTACATTTCTAATAGTCTAAAATAACCATATATAAGATAAATAAATAAAAGATACTATAAAACAGTATTTTTCATAAAGAAAGCCTATTTATAGAACGATGAACATTTTTTATGCAATGTATGTAATGAAGATAATAATGTACTATATTATTTAAATAGTAAACTCTTATCATGATAATATTTGACGTACTGTTTTTAATTTATGCTGAGATCAATTTAAAAGAAAAGTGCTTTTCATGAATGAATTCTAACAGCATGAATCTCAAATGAAAATCATTCGAGAATATCGACAGAAACTCAAAACTCCAAAACATACAAATGCATTACAGTAATGAGGATTTAGCAAATAATGGGAGGAAAATAGTATCACAATGCAAAACAATGCCCCCTATATGATACAATGCCCTGTTTCTTTCCTTTTAAATATGAAACACCTGAAGCTGGACTGCAGGTCACACACACACACCTGAGTTGTCCTCATCCTTGCGGATTTTGAGTTTGACCAGGTCTTCGCTCTGCTGGAGGATCTGGACGGCGTCCTCCATGCAGCAGTTCTCCAGACGGATGTTATCTATGGCCAGCAGCTTGTCTCCGGGCTCCAGAGTTCCTGTTCTGCAGGAAGAAACCATGAAACGTGCTTCAGTCTCGCAAACAAACACTAAACCAATCTGCAGAGTCAACAACTAACTTTGTACTTGTTTTTGTCTGCAACACAAAGTTGCAAAGAGCTTTTTCACCAAACAAGATGAGATATTTACATTTCTAGGAGACAAAAACAATATAAAAATATTTTATTTTTATAAAAAATGTATATATAATTTTGATTATCAAATATTGATTTTGAAATATTGCACAAACAGAAAGCACACTACTTCCAAGTTTTACAGTAAATTATATATGGAGTTTGTCTCACCGCTTCAGTCTCACAAACAAACACTGGACACATCTGTGGAGTGAGCCAACAACTAAGTGTGTCCTTGACTTTCAACCTTGAGGTTTTTCAACAAACAAGAAAAGGTATTTATATTTCTAAGAGACAAAAACAAGAATATAAAACGCATTCTAGAATATATATATATATAAAAATAATGCTCTTTTTAGCAGCATCATATGACCCCTTTAAGACATAATAACACATAAGGCACCTTTTTTTGCCACCTGCTGGCGTATTTATGTAATATGTAAGGGATAATCAACGGCTAGCTGTGCATTAAAGGATTTTAAATGTATGACGTGGAGGCAAAGAACCGCCCGACGCAAAGCACGGCTAGCCGTTGAT